TTTTCCTCAATGAATGACATTAACTCTGATACATTCTTTAACTTGAAGATATACAACGAACTAGAATTCAACCTAATGATTGGAGCAAGGACACGATATTTTTGAACACTTAAACAAAAACTAATGGCGTCGTGTCTGCCTCTCGTTGCCAGTCCATGAAGTAACTTACTATATCTAACAAATTTAGGGTCGTCTGCAAAATCATCAACAATGATTAAAATTGAATGTAGTTTCTTCATCTTCTGTTCTTTCATATAATGAATTATCTTTCTTTGTGTGTTAATTATTTCTTCCAGTTCTTCAGGTTGGTAGGTGTCATAATATAACTTTTCTTTTTCATCATCAACCTTCATATTATCTTTTTGATATTTCTTGACTTCAACGAAGGTAGGGTCATTATGAACCGACGGGCTAAAAATGAATATACGGGCGAAGCAGTCCCTATAAACATTTAGGATAAGGTTTTGAATTAAAACTGTTTTGCCACCCGTTGATGAAGCAACAACAATTGAGCGAAAAGGTAGTTTTGGCACATGTTCATATTTAGATTGTTTGAAATCGTAATCAGTTATATTTATTGGTTTTATTATTGGAACATCAGACATAATAAAATAATATTAAAGTTATTTAGAAAATATTTTATATTTATTATTTTATATGAATAGAAGTTATTCGGATTATATTGATATAATAGATAAAGTAGAAAATATAGAACAAGTAATACTAACTGATAATAGATTTAAGAAAGTATGCTATTTTGTTTTAGAATTAATTAAGTTTGTGATACAATATATTAAAAATATAAATATTAATATAGATGGGGAGAAAGAAAAAGAATAAGACAGAATCAGTTGTTTCTTCAACTGATGAAGAAAAAGAAGAAATTGTTAAAGAAACATCAGTTATTGAGTTTGCTTGTCCAATGTGTAAAAAAATCTTAGAAATGAAAAATGAATTAGAAATACAAAAGAAAGGAAACTGTAAATGTTCGTGTATTCCGACAAGTTTCAAAATAAGTAGAAATGATAAGAAAATGAATATTGATAAAACTAAAGACAGTATAAACTTAGAAACAGATGTTCATAATATTACATTTAAATGGGGTCGGAACGCTACTCCATCCGATAATGGAGAAAACGAAACACAGGAAACTGTTAAACAAATAATGAAAACTACTTAAACAATAAAAAACAATATATAACAATATGGATAGTGTCAAAGTGAAAAATACTAAAAAATAATAAAACCGGTAAAATATATTGTATTAGAAATAATATAACCGAAGATTATTACATTGGAAGCACCTGTCAAAGTTTAAGTCAAAGAATGGCACAGCATAGAGGCAATATGAAGAAACAAAACCGACAAAATACATTAATCTATCCATTTATGATAAAACACGGATATGAAAACTGCTACATTGAATTAATTGAAGAATGCCCCTGTGAGAACAAAAGTAGGTTACAAAAAAGAGAAGGCGAAATAATACGAGAGTGGAAACCAACACTAAACATTAAAGTGCCGGGAAGAACTGAACAAGAGTTTAAACAGGACAACCCCGAATATTTCAAACAACAAAAGGCAAGGGATAACAAAGCGTACCGTGAAAAATACCAAGAACAGATAAAGGCGGGAAAAAGACTTGAATATTTAAGAAATGCTGAAAAATATAAAGAAAGAGCAAGAATATATAAAGAAGAACATAGAGAAGAAATCAACAGGAAAAGCAGGGAAAAATACCACAAACAGAAAGAACAACAAAATATAAACTCATCAGATAATGGTGATAAGGAAACTCAGGAAACTGTTAAACAAATAATGAAAAATTAGTATTTAAAGAGTAGATTTAACATAATTGCAACATTTAGTTTTAAAAGTTTAGTTTTATAATTTAGTATATATGGAGGAACATTTAGCGAACATTGACAGTAGTTTAGAGTTGTTGTTTCCAAGATTAGAAAAAGTGTTGGAGCAAAATGAAAACATACTGAAAATCTTAAAGAGCATGAATATTAAACCTACATATAATAACAATAACAATTACCAAGCAAAAGAAGTAGATAGAGACAGTAGCGAATACAAAAATAAACGAAACATTTATGTTAAAAAACTGAATGAAAAAATCATAAAAGAACCTAAACAATCAAGTCTGGATTACTATCAAGTCAAGTATAAAGAAGACACCAAGAAATACGTTTAATCATTAACCAACAAAATTTCGTGTCTCAAAAGCGGTTTGTTTATTCCTGCTACTTTGTAAGTTTTATTACCCATAATATCATATTCAATTTTATCGATATTGAATATTTTATTAGACCATTTAGAGTTATACTCCTTTCTGTCGGTGTAATTACCCCTTTTCTTTTGAAACACTTTTACCTTGTCGTTCTCCACTATTCTGGGATACTTTCTTTTGTTTTTTTCTCGTAGTTTAAGATTGACCTTTACATTTATTTCATTGTCGTCCTTGTGTGCTTCAGACGGTGTCATCCTTGTTGATGAGTGAGATGTGCTGTTATACTGTTTCAATGCTTGCGTTAGGGCGTCGGTCCATTTCATGTTGTTAAACCTAACTCTATCGTGAATTTTGTTTTTCATCGTTCTAATAAAACGCTCGGCCACATTTGCGTGGGTCTTCGTGACGATGTGGTTTATTCCTTCACTGTTGAAGAAATCCTGAACTTGATTTTTAGTTGCAAACGCTCCGTCGTCATCAGAATACACGGACATCGGATAACCCATCTTTTTAAAGCTTGTTCTCAACGCCTTCAAAACGTGCTCTCCGTCTCTTTCCTCCATCAGTATTACATCTGCTAATTTACTGAAGATGTCAATCACGACTAAAGCATACTGTGGAACGATCTTGTCTTTTGCTAAAGGCGACATATGCATTATGTCTATTTGATATTCATATCGTGCGAATGGAGCGGTATAGGAATTAGTAGCTCTATAATGTTTGATTTGTTTATTTGGTTGTTTCTTTAAGAAAGACTTTACATCGTCTATTGTTATTGTTGGGTCTTCTTCCTTTGCCTTCTTGTGTGTCGCTTGTGTGCTTCCGAAGCCCTCGTCTAAGTCGTAATAGATGTTGCTGATTATTTGGTCTTTTGTTAATCTCGCCATTATATTAAATTGTTAGAAAATATTTTTTCAATATAAACCCCCACCCCTTAACATAAAATAAAAAAAACTACTTAAAGAAAAATTGATATAATATAGTAAGAGAAAAAAATGACACTGTTTAATTATGATAATTGTCCTTGTAAAAATAAAAAATGTAAGTCTGTCGTGGCACTAGCTAATATTTTACCTGTTAATGTTTGTAATCTTATAGGTGGCTATATTAGAGTAACATGTTTTGATTGCTGGTATTTGATGGATGAAGAAGAACATTTTATGAGAGATAAAGACATTCCTGAAGAAGGACTGGAAAAAGCAGAACTTCAATTACAAGTTATTAAACTAATGCAAAATAATGTTTTTACTCTACTAGCAGAAAACCAATATAGTATAAAAATAAGACATTACAGAAAACACATTGACCGAGTATTTGATATACAAGAAGTTAAAGAACGGTTTAAAAATAGAAAAATGTATTATCAAGCTTTAAAATCATACTGTAAGAATAATGAATATGAAATTTGTATCATTTTAAAAAAAATGTATTGACATTGAAGCTTTAAAACAATTTAAACGTTGTAGGTTTAGCTTTCCAAACCTAAACAGTTCGTGGTCATATAGAAATAACAATTATTATTTGAGACATATTCTTAGCGAATTAATTGAAATTTACATAGACCAATTAATAAAAGGATACGAGCATTATTGTTGTGAGTATAGTATGAGTTGTTATAGTGGTTGTATCGCTGGTGAGATTGAATTCGGGTCAAATTAACTTTTGTTTATTAATATTATTATCTTATAATATGATTAAACATTGTTTTATAATCTAAAAAGAAGGTTAAGACATTTAAATTAAACCTGAAACCCAGACCAGCCGACCAGCAACCCCTAGCCAAAACTACTTAAAGAGAAAAAACCTTATATATTAAGAGAAAAATGAACGGTGATGGAATCAATAATTATATCGATAAAAAATGCTATGATTGTTGTCACTTCAAAAAAGAAAATATGGAATTGTATAAATTGAACTTACCTAATGAAATAGTGAATAATATTATTAATTATTCAATGGATGAAGAAGATTTATGTAAAATTTGTAGAAATTGGAGATATTATCAAGAATTAATCAGATGTCTGTTGGGAATAAAAAGAATTCGACATAGAAATGTAGAAGATGATATTTTAATATTTCTAACTGTAAATAAAATACCACCTTATGATTATGTTAAACAGTTTCTTAAAATTAGTAAGAAAAAATATGAAATGATGGATGATATATTATGGTTGTTGTGTTATAGTCAAGATAAAGGAGAAGATGTTAAAGAAAATATCAATTTATTTATTGAAAGTAAAAAGTTTAATGTTCAGAATACAGTGAGAGATGTTAATATTATTTTTAAAATGATGTATGAAAGAAGAAAGATTTGTCAATTAAATTATTATCCTGTACTGAAATTATAATCATAATATAATAATAACATGTAAAATCTTATATGTTATAATTATACTGAACTTTTAACCTATAAATGAAAATTAGTGAGAACAATACTAACAAAACAAATACACCACCAACACCTCAGAACTTGATAACTACTAAAAGGGCTAACTCTTTCAAATGAAAAAAATGTTTGCCCCTAGCCCAACAATGAACAAGGCGAGAAATTACCCAAATGATTACCTTAACGAAAACGATAAATAAGCCCCCTAAAAACCCTCTTTTAAAAACGAATAAGGGGGAACACAGATTTGAGATGAACATAAAAACCAGAACAGGCAACCCTCAACAGACCACCCCCCAGGCCCCCTGTTTTCTCCATTTTTCCCCCCCCCCCCCGCACCAGTCTCAAGCGCCGAGAGAAGCGCGGGAGCTTCGGCGCCTGGGCGCTGCTGTTGGACACCGCCAGGCCGAGGCCCACCTTCACTGGGCCATCCTCGTGAAGGCCACGGATCGGTTTCAGGAGACCCGGGCGGGAGGGAAAAAAACCGCGGGGTAGGGGGTTCGTTTCGTCTTTCAAGGTGGATGTGTTTTTGTCTTTTCCCTAAAAATAAGGGACCCATATGCAACGTCACCAACCAGAAAAGACGAGACAAGACGGTGTTGGTGTCCTTTTGGCTCCCTGAAACCAAAAGGAGACAACTATGTTGAGAAACACTCATATGGGTGTCGTCGTTTTAGGGGTTTTGTTTTGATGGGCTCAAAGGCAGGTGGTCCTTATGTGGAGACACGCCTTGATACAACCCTCATGAAACCAGGTAGAGCGACCTACCGGTGGGAATTGGTGTTGTTCACCCGAAATCTGCGATACCAACATGGGTCATGAAAAGAAGGATCGGAAACGGGAGGACGGGACGGGGGGACCTCCAAGATGCTTCGGGTCTCCTTTGGGTTTCCCTCTCAATCAACCTGGAAAGAGTACCAACTCCAAAAAAGGAAGACATTTACCCATTTTTCAGCAGCGCCGGTCCTCCACAGGCAGGTGGCAACATTCGCAGTTCGACGTCGCTCCCACAGGCGGGGAGAAGCGCATCTCGAACCAATCCTTCGAGCTCGCCGGAGGCCCGAAGAGCCGAAGCCAAGGACCCACGCAGAAAAAGAAAAGAAAAAAAAAGCGCCCGAGCTGGACCAAAAATGAACGCCACGTGAACGGGACATGCTTGGGCCAGACTCACTTGCCCAAAAGCAAGCGGAGAGTAGGAGGAAGGGCCCAAAGGGGACCTTAAGTTTGATTTGGACGGCAGAAGGTCAAAAGGTCCTCGGGCACAAAGGTTGCTAAGCCCTGCAAGCCCCTTGATCATTTTCCAAGGAGGCAAAATCGAACCAAAGCGCAAACCAAAGGGATCCTGAAACAATACCTATCACCCCCCCTAAAAAAACAAGGGGGGGAAAAACAGAGTAAAGAGGTCTTTGATCTGCCTGGATTCAAAGATAGACCCCAAATAAGCGGCCGCCCCCCCAGCCCCCAGCCCTTCCAAGCCCCCCGCACCCCAGAAGAAAAAAAAAAAGAAAGTGCCACGTCTGCCAAGTTGAGTCTCCTGCTTCTCCGGCAGCACGGGCTCGGAGGAGCAGAAGGGCATCTCCTGGCCTCCGCGGCAGGTCGGCGACTCGTTGACGGCGCAGCCCTGAAGCGTGGTGCGAACCAAACGAAACCAGCCGGCCCCCAAGAAGTCCCCTACAAATTAACAGCTGGAACCCATGAAGAAGGTCCAAACCCCTAAAAGAGGTTTCCAAACCATTGTGTCTTTGAGTTCCAGGTTATCTGTAGGGGAGTAAACGGTAACAACCGGGAATCAAATCGTGTAGGTTTGGCCCATGGTTTCTGACAACAATTGGTGACACGGTTCCGCAGCCCTGTGAAGGCAGCTGAAAGGAGTGGCTAAGTCTCCAATTCACCCAAATACCATGACTGAAACCAAGGGGCCAAACTGCTACAATTTGGCCCTGGGAGATCAGTTCAAACGTGGTAGACCCGTTGAATCCCGGCCTGGTAGTCCCTGCAGCGCGTGCACCCAGGAAGCGGCTTGGGGCATTCCAAGGTGCCCTGGTGGGCGTAGTGCAGCCGCCCCACAGACACCGATCTGCTCCACCTGGGGGGTCTCTAGGAGTGCCTCGATTCTCTAGTTGGGAGGTTCTACGGGGACTGCGCAATCACCACATCCCCGGGCTTCAAGGAACCTGACTCCAGGGCATTTTTCAGTGCAATCAATCCCAAGGAATAAAAAAGCCCTGAGAGTAATCTGTCTTGGAGAAAGCCAACTTGTAGTTCTCTTTGAATCCCAGACTTCCTACCCAGCCAGGGGATTCAACTCAAGGTGCCTTACCGCTGAGTGTTTGAATCCAAAGCGAGACCAAACGGACTTCTTTCACCTACTGCGGATGAACAAATTCCTGCACCAGTTGGGATGGATCCGCATAAATCAACTTTTCAACTGGTGTGAAATGGTATTGGTGCACTATATTCTGAGACAAAGCCACCTCTCCAGCGCAATCTCCACCCTGAAGGACGACATCAGCACGCCCTTCAGGCGCACCCATTCCTCCACCCCCACCGGGAAGCTCTGCTTGGCGTACGACACCAACATGCCCTGGTGCTCATGGCAGAATTGCGAAGCATTGTCGCAAGAGGTGTTGAGCAGGCAGTCCTCAGGGTTGGAAAATTGGTGAGTTTTTCCTTGTTGTGGGGAAATCGAGCGAGCTGACGGGTCTTCATCGAATTTCAAACGCTTTCGCGTCCTCCCCAACGACGCAAGCCCCGCCCGCGTCGCGCAGCTGAACTCGCATGCGGTTGTCCGAGGTGGAGATCAGCTGGATCTCGAAGTCCGTATAGCCAGCTGGCACCGAGCCCAAATTCTGGGAGGTGAGGTTGGACAGCTCCAAGGACAGAGTCCCATTCCTGGTATCCGCCATGTTGAGTTGCATTTTCACAGCAGGGAGCATTGAAGGATGCACCCCCAAAATAACCTTCAACTATGTTAATCCGCGAAAGCTGGTAACATGGCCAACATGGCCAACATACATCCTTTAAGGAACCCCGAAACACGGAAGACCGCTTGATTTACAAAAATGTGGACCCTCGAAATCAGCCAAAGGTGAGTTATTGACTGGTCATGCAATCTTTTTCGTGGTCAAAGTCGGCCAAATGATCTGCAAAAAATAGAATCCCAATTGCATTTTTGTTGGTAAAGCTCAAGGTCAAACTCATGATCCTGCGTTGCATGTCGTTGTTGTTGCCAACACGGACATGTGGGGACCACGCACTTCATGCACTGTTGCAATGCATGTTTAGAGACGGTTATGTGCCGTGTTGTACATTCAGGTGCGGGATCTCTTTGGCTCTGCGCTGCAGGTTTCGCTGGTGCACCTTGATGTTGCTAAGTCAGTTGTACACACGTGCCCATGGCACGTGAGTTTGTTAGAAACATCTCATAGGGTGTTCCTTTTCGATTGAGCCACGCCGACCTTGCTTGCTCGCTCGCGTTGATTATATGCTTGCGCCTTGCCGGTTGCAAGCTGCCACCTTTGCTGTGGGCGTCGCAAGACAAGCCTCTGACACTTCTAGATGAACTTCATGAGGACTCGTCGGGATAAAAGTGGTTTCATAGGGGGCAACTTTGTTTCACTTGATTTATTTTTGCATTTCGCGAGCCGGCTATTCTTCTGGGGGATTCAGGCATTTGACTAACAGACTCTTAAGGCGATATGTCCACGAGGATTAACTCAAACCTGGAAGCCGTGCCATGTTGCGGAGTGCACCTTCCCCGCAGCGCGCTAAGACTGAAAGACATTCTGATTGGTGAAATACAGTGCTTCGTGCGGGCCCTAAACGCCCGTGTTGCCTTGTTGTTTGTGCTTGCCAATTGCGTGTCGTGGTTGTCTTTGTGTTTTCTTTCTTCCCCCCCCCTCCCCCCGCGGTTTTACGAGTGTTGCTGTTACGTTTTGTTGTGATCATCCACCACCCACGTCTTTTGGCCATGGGTCAAAATTCCGTACCAGTGAACATCCCAATCCCCACTAAAATAGACTAAAATGGGTGGTACACCTACCCCAAAGTGGTACCATGGGTCTTGACCCACGTCTTTTGGGTTCGAACTCGATACCGCTTCCCCGGACGGGACGAGGCTCCCTCCCGAGCAGCCCAGCACCAGCGGTTTGGACTGGTACTCCGTGACCGGGCACTCGGCCTAAGCAACAAAAGCACCCATTGCAAAAACAAAAACCGGAAAACTCTACGGGTACCTTCCAAATGGAAGGCGATCCCTTTTTGTTTGGGAGGGATCTCCCCATCTTAAGCCAAAAATCTAGGGGACACTTCCCCATTCTTTCCAGGGATCCGCCGGATCTTTCTACAACACCTCAATACACCCAGCGAAAACGGCCGGTTTTTGAAAAGAAGGATGGTTGAAAAGAATGGGGAATCAAACTCTAGAAAAACGTGGGCAACAACCTACCACCCCCTTAAAGGCAAAAGGATGGCAACAGGGCAAAGAGCAGCAGAAAACGCAAACGGGGAATTGAAGGAATCCAGCAAACAAACAGAGAAAAAGAAATAAAGATGGAAACAACCTCAAAGGAGAACAGAACAAGGTCAAACAACGGGCATTGAAAAAGATGAAGCTCACTCGCTTGGAACCATTCTGTCCAAAGCTCAGAGGCTTGCGCTGATGTGAGGAGAGCGAGCGCCAGCACAGCGCAGGCCATGGGGTGGGGCACGGAGAAGACAAGCTTTGGCTCAAGCATTCTGTCCAGCCCATTTAGGTGTGGGTGTGGGTCAAAATTAAACCATCAGAAAACCGAAGGTGTTGGTCCAGTGTCCACTTACCAGGGTTCCATTTGGGGTACATATTTTTGACCCACAGCCATGTGTTGGTTCGGATGGTGGTTTCAAGGCAAACCAGAAGGAGCCGCACCCAATTTGGGGGTTCCCCTTTTTCGAGGCAAAGCTCGTTCATCAGGGATTTAAGCCCAAAAGAGACCGAAGCCCATTCAGCATTGATTTAAAGGGAACTAAAAAGAAAAGCCACAATTTTGGATGTGCCTGTTTTTGTGCTGTGGGGGGGGCGGGGGGGGGAAGAGGCTAACGAAGACCGAAATTCATTTTCCGGGGCCCGGCACGTTCTCATTTGGCCCCTTGAAGTGGCTATCAGTTGATCGCTTTGGGTCCCGGTGATGTCCTTTCCCGCATTGGGGCATTTCGGTGGCTTGCGGACATTTGAATGGACTCGCTGAAAGTCAGGCAGTGAGTTTGAATCCTGTGCAGAATCAGGGCTTCTTGCCGAACCAAGTTGATTAGGCCTTCATCCACCCAAGTTGTGATTGAATGTCCACAGGCAACAAAGCCCAATGTGCCCATCGTTCTTTGCGAAATCCAAAAAGGGGCCTCCCATCAAAAAAACTGGAAATGCTGCGAGGGGTAGGCGCGAGCGCTTGACATGCGCACTCAACACGTGCCAGAGTGTGTGTGCGTCCCTTGGCCTTTTGACTTGCCAAAGTGTCCGAGATATTATCTGGAGAGCGGGAGTCTTCCCTTTGTTTCTGGAAGGTCGGACCAACGTTGGCAACGGATTCCAAGGGGCGCAAGAGCCGCGGCACATTGGAGGACATGAGCCGTGTACTTTCTCCTGAATCGATCAAGCCCAAATCTATCCAAAACATGTAAAGAATTCAGAGCACATATATCCGCGATCTCTGGCGGGGATTACCCTACCCGAATCGGTGTCGATTCTGGGCCTTATCGATATTCTAGGGGGTGATTCCCCATTCTTTTCAACCATCCTTCTTTTCAAAAAGAGGCTGTTTCCCCTGGGTTTTTGATGGTTTCCTGAAAAGAAGGATCCCTGGAAAGAATGGGGAAGGGACCCCTAGAAATATGGCAACTTGCACGAAGCCCAGCTTCCAACTGCCCACACTCCTGGCCCTTGGCATCAAATTGTCCACCTCCATCAGCGACAGCTGCGAGACCTGAAAGCAATGGACCCGCTAGGAACGGGTGTGCCGTAAAAATATTGAGGACTTTAGAAATTGTGGTTTCCCTGTTGTTTCTTCCTTTACAAGCCTAAAAGGGGTACCACGAACACGATGCTCAGGGTTTCCAAGTCAGTCTCCAATTTCAGGGGTGGTGCCTCACGCTCAAAACTGCCTCCCCACCCCCCTTGCGCAGCCAAGGCCTTGGTCTGGACGCTTGCCGAGGATGGTAGGGTCTTCTCACCCAAGGAGGGTACCAAAATATAAAATCCCAAAAAACTGTGCGTCCGGATATGAACCTTGCAGATGTTCCCACGAAAGTCTTTGCCAAAAAACTGGAGACCTATCGATCAACCAGCGCAAAAAACAACCTGCACCAAGCACCGCACCAGCACGCGAGCCTTCCAGCGAGGAGATCCTGGAACAATGCCGGCAGCTTCCCAAAAAAAATACGCGCAGCATGAGCCAAATCGGCACCCAACGTGTTGTAGCTGTCCTTGTGGTCTCCCTTTAAGCCAAAAGGCGCCCTCAAAAACACCTCGCGCGCGTATTTGGGGGAGTCGCTCTTGCGGAGTTGGTCCCAAGGAAAACCAAGGAGAACATCTCGATTTTGGGGTTTGGGGGTGCATTTGCAGGCCCCCGACAGGTGAAAAGCAGAATGATCCTGTCGTCTTAATGAAACGAAAGTGTGGGCACCAGCCCATGATTTGGACCGAGAACGAGAGCAGGCTGGTCTGTTCTCCACAATTCGATCTTTTGCAGACCCAACTAGCAAGACCGGACCTTGAAAGCTTCAAATAAACTCCTTCAGAACACGTACCGCACTTTCCTCGGTCCCTAGATATTAATATCTCTACGCCAACTTGAGTAGATTGGAGGTTCTGTGGATTTCAAGTCTTTCCATCTTTGAGTCCGATGTTCAGCTTGCCTGTCCTCTGCTTGTGCCTTGCGGCCCGCCGTACATCTGGAGCCCACCTCAGACATGAGTGCTTGCCAGGCGTGAGTAAAAACCAAAGAACCCCATACCAATCCAGATGTATTAGTGTCTCATGTTTTCCCTTCCATGTCCTTCCAAACCACACCAAGTCTGCCTTTCAAAAAAACCACACCAAGTCTTTAAAAAAAAAAAAAAAAAAAAAAAAAAAAAAAACGCGTGCCCCGATCCAAGCTCCTGTAGGCTGTGGCCACGGTGCCCTTACTAGGCATCCTCACCAACCCTAAGATGGCTCCTTTTGACCAATCCTCGAACTGGAGTGCAGCCTGGCAGCAGCCCAGCACAAGGCCGCCGCCCTCCTCCGGTCCTGCGAGGATTTCGCAAGCGCCCAGCGCTGGGCGATGGCTTCCGGTTTCTGACTTCAAAGAGAAACGTTCCAACGGAATTCTGGTGAGGGTGCCCATATGTCCGAAGGCTGGGAATCAAGTGGCTATAACTTCCCTCGGTTTCTGACTCCGAGATGTGGTTGGTGGACATGAATCCAACCGAATTCTGGTTCCCAGGGTGCCCATGTCAGGGACACTGGTGAAAAAGGAGAGACTCACAGAAACTGGAGGTGCCCAGAAGATGCAGAAGCACACGCGTAGAAAATTGCAGAAAGAGGCTGACCAGGCAACAGAAAAAACTCCCAGTACCTCCGCCTCCTCTCAACCAAGTTTGACCCTCCCGCTTTCCAGGACCAAATCTCTAAACCAACACCTGATACCCCTTCAAAGGAAAACCCAAAGAAGGGCGTTTAAACAAAGGCCTCCAGCACGGTGGGCCCATGCAGTGTTTTTCTTGTAAAAAAGAAGTCGGTCCTCCGCTTCCCGAGGGCAGGAAAATCCCAACCTGCTGCAGCACCTTGGCGGTTCGCTGCGTGACAAGCTTGGTGAGGGATATACCAGAAATCTGAACTGTGTCATAAACTGTTAGTATGGCCGGGACCCTGATGTTAA